CTGCCCCCCGAGTGGGCGCGCCTGGAGAAGCTGGAGTCGCTTGATGTCTCAAACAACTCCCTGAGCGGCCCCGTGCCACCCAGTTGGGGCTCTGGCATGAAGCGCCTGAAGATCCTTGAGCTTTACGACAACAAGCGCCTGAGCGGGTGCCTGCCCTCTGCATTCAACGCACGACTGGGTTTGGCAGACCACTGGGAAAAGGGCACACCAATTCGCGAGACCTGGGCAGGCACCAGCATCACCGGCTTTTGCTGAGAGGTAGCCTTTTCCAGGGTGATCTGTCTCAAGACTGCAGTAGTGATTACCACCACACATGTACGCCTTTGTGTAGCCAACACTCAGATACAACGCAAACGCGTGTGCACGCACACGCATCCTGGATATGATTACTACCTGCTGCACAGCTCTGATTACGGGCACCAGCGCCCTGCCTGTACCAGTGTGTTGCACGGCAGGTGCTGCTTTGCTGTTTTGTCGGCTTCCAAATATCAAGGGACGAAAAAACGTATTACTATGCTTCTTGTCATATAAGCCCGTTGAGTACACGCATGTGCCTTGAAAAGCCAGCCTCATGAACCATCATTTATTGCAGATCGCACACAATCAATGGGTTAGGCTCTTTGTGTAGGGGTCTGGGAGCGAGGTCGTTTACACGCGCGAGCAAGAATTTTAACCACGGCAACATAACCGCGTGCTGCGAAGATAATGACATCACCAAGTGTGCGCTTACTCCTGTGTAAATTGCCACGCAGACATTTATCACGCACATGGCGTACTGATGACCGTGCAAGACCAGACAATTGACCCAGCCGTTGGCGAGGCCTAGCATCAATTCACCACAAGCTTTGTGCACCTATGCAACAAAACTCATCATGCCGCAAAAAGCGGTGAGGACCGACACAACGCCTGGCTGCAGACGACCTCGCTTCAGGCCAGTAGGCCTTGCTTGTCTGGCAGCTTTTAATTATTTCACCGGATTGGTCAACTGACGTTGAGAGCTCGATGCAATGGCAGGCATCAAAACCCCTCAAACCGACAAGCAACAGCTGCACAACACCCACCGTGCAGCGGCTTAACGCACCTGGGCTCATCAGCGCACGGGCACGCCTGGTGGCACAACATGGGGGTTGCGCCGTGCAAATTCAAGTGTTGCTTCTCGCTGCTCTCCAATGTGCCAGGGTGGTAATGCATACACGTCTTCGAAAGCGGAAGATATTGGTGCCTTGGGGATCTTTGAGGCCGCTTCCAGCGCGGCCATGACCTGTGTAATGGCGGTATGTCATACCGGTGGTCAGCAAGGAGACCATGCGGCATATGCTGACGGGCCAGTCCAGGTGGTTGGACAAGTGTGCACTGCAAGGTGGTCGCCGAGCTACAGTGGTGGACCCCGGCGCGGTCGGCGCTGAGCAGGGGCTTCAAGAGGTCACGAGTCACATCAGGCTTTTGCACTTGATCACACGCTGCACATTGGACACTGACCTCAATTCTGAAGCCGTAGAGCACACAAGCTGCCGTTACCTCCCAAGCCTGATTATCACCCAGCGCGCACATAGAGACAGTCCTTCTGAATCAAATACACCACTGACATGCGATGCTGACGCGCACCTGATGCCGCACGTCCCTCCTGAGCGCCGCGTCGCGCTGCGCGTCCCACCAGCCCTGGCAGTCCAGCCACTGGCGGAAGCGCACGACGGGGTCACGCGCCCGCCACTCCGCCATCTCCTCCCGTGTGCGGTACCTCAAATTCGTGTGGTGATGTGTTGCAGGCAGCGCACAGTATGTAATCTTTGACAACAACAGATGATGATGCACAGGTGTGTTGGCTGATCCGACAGTAAATTGCTGCTGACACATGACTGAAGCACGCGAATCAATTGCGTAGCATAGAATGTTGCTGGTGTCGGTGAAGACTTGCCCTCCATCACCTGGAGGAGTCATCTGAAGTGGAGTGGTGGCCGCTGCGATATGACATCGCCTCAATCAATACCTGCAGGAGAGAATTTGAAAATGGGGGCCGAGGACGTGATGAACGCAAAAACGGGGTAGTAGGTTTGTGCCATTCTGGAACAGCAGCTTTGCAGGATGGGCGGCGCAAACAGGCGCCTTACCTTGACCACGATTCAACCTAAATCCTGGCAAGTCTGCCGACATGCCCCAGCGCCCCCCTTGCAGAGGCCCCTGCGATGATGAGCCGCAGACTCAGCAGCCTAAGTTGATGTCAACATGAGGTCACCAAGCAGGAGGGCCTACCGGGCAGGAGTGCTCCAGCGCCAGTTCCCTGGCGGCCCTGGTCGCGTTGTACACCGCCAGCGCGTCACCGCCGTCCACGCGCACGGCAGGCATCCCGTAGGACGGTCCGCGGGACGCCACGCCGTCACCTGAAAAGAGAGATGTGGTGAGCGGATGGTACGGTGACTGCGAGCTATGCGGCGAATCCATGAGGGAGCGGGCTGATGCGTCGGCATGATTCGTTGTGATGCAGCGCGCTACGCAGTGCAAAAGCAAGCCAGTGGCCTCTGGGTTGGGGGAGCAGGGAGGCATCAGAGCTCGCCTTTGTACTGCTCAAAGGATGGCGTGCTGATGGCATATCTGCATTTGACAGGGAGTGGTTGCAGGGCGCAAACGATGAGTTGGATGGTAAGATGTCACTGTCTCCCAAGCACCTGCTGGGGCTGGCAATAGTAACCCAGATGGCGTAATAGTTGCAAACGAGTACCCTTTGGATTGACCGTGCAGCACGTGGGAGGAGCAAGAGCGATTGGCACGCCGCGCACCCATTGTTGCGGCAGATGAAGAGGCACGGCGCTGCGAGGGTGGCCGCAAAGTTGAGGGCCGCGTGAAAGTCGCCTTCGCTGCTGGCGCCTTCCCCGAAGTACGCGACAGCCACGTTGCGGGCCCCTTGGAGCTGGGGACACAGATTTTGGGGGAATCAGCGGCAGGCAAAGGATCGCGGCAGATTTTGGGCCGACGTTGTTGGCATTAGGGGGCGTAACGCCAAATTTAGGGCCTCCCAGGCCAATGGGTGCTGACTGTCGGGTCTTGCTGAGTGCGAAACTGCCGCCAGCAGTGCGCTTTGAGCTGAAAGGCGCAGTTCTGTTAATCAGCCACGGCACTGGCTGTGGCTGCAGAGGCGGCGGCGCCAGCAGCACGTGGCCAAGTGACTCAAGCAAGACGCACCAGCCAGCAGCCAGCACAGGGACGCCACATCTCACACCTTGAGCGAGTACGCGGCCCCAACGGCATGCGGCAGCTGCGTCGCGAGGGGCGAGGAGATGGTGTGGTAGGCGAGATCCTTGCTGCCGTAGTGGATGGGCATCTGGCGGCCCTTGCCAGGCTCCAGCTCATTGCCGTAGCACTGCAGGTTGGTCCGGATAGGCATTCGTGCGGAATATGTGGGTTCAAGGCGGCAGTCCTTTGTGATGACGAGGCAGGGTTGAGGCAAGCATGGGCAGTGACAAAGAGAGACATGGGTGCTGACCTGCCGGATCCAACCCACCCAGTGTCGTTGTGTTCAGCAGCAGCAAGCCCGAGGGTGCAAGGCCGAGGGTCCAAGGGAGGAGCCGTGAGTGCTTAGCTCGCCTGGTTGGCGAAGTCGTCGAATGAGAAGCCGCGCCACAGGAGGACGCCCTGTTCCCGGTACTGGGCAAACACCTGATACGACGGCATTACGGGGAGGGCGGCGTGTGATGGGCAATCATGTGGCTGGTCAGGCGTGCCAGGAGATCTGATAACAACAGTTTGAGGAGTGTCGGTCGCTGCCAAGCCATCAAACGTTTACGCAGCAGTGCAAAATTCGCTGGCTGACACGGACCTGACGCGGACGGCACGGGCGCGCCATTGGCCCACGTTTGCGGAGCTCTGCTTTGCACCGCTGCTGTCAACCCTGCCTTGGGACCCTGCTTTGACCTCTGCAGGATGGACACGCACCTGGTCCTTGGGGTCGAGCCCCGCCGCGCTGGCTATGATGGCGGCCTCCTCCCCAGCGCAGGTCATGTAGAATGAGAACCGCCCCTGCACTTGACGAGGCAGGCGTGAGGCGGCTAAGAGAATGCGGCGCCCTTGCCGGGCAACGGCGAGCGGCGAGAGCCTGTCAAGCGCCGATAGCTTGCAGATGCATGTACCACGCGCTTGCTGCCTGGCTGCGATGAGTCATAGCCGTGGCCCCTGCCGGTTGCAGACCCCTGTGGCCCCGGCCACCCACCTGCCGCTGCGCCTCGTAAAACAGTGTGTCCATCACCTTGGTAGGAGTGGCAGCGTTGTGGGGAGCCATGGAACCAGGATGTCAAGCGTCAAAGGTTGGTAAGGGGCAAGACACACATACACAATTCCATGGATAGTAATGATGCGCTTGTGCACATGGTCATGTGCAAGCAGAGACGCACACCACAGGCAACTCCAGCCAGCCACACCTGCATCTTTGCCATCGCCACGTACAGCCGCAGGGCGTCCTCCTCCCCCAGTGGGTGCGGCACCGCCGCGCCCTCCAGCGGCCGCCCGGCGCCGTCCAGGGCGCGGTAGCACGGCACCTTGGGGGTGTCTGGGCTCGCTGGTCCGCCCTGGAACGCCAGGCGCCGGGTGACGGGGACCCTGCGCTCGATGGGCGGCGCAGGCCCCGGAAACAGGCGGCGGAGGTGTGCTGGCGAGGGGTGTCCGGGAGCGACCCGCGTGGCGCCACGGCGTGTGGCGCCACGCACTGCAAGCGGCAGTGCCCTGGCATGCCCCTGGGCGGGGTCCATCCCAGCACTCACCGCCCTCCCGGGACCTCGATCGACTCGTCTGCGGCCGAGGCTGCAGTCCCACCCATGCCGTTACTGTTATCATCAGAGGCGCCCCTTGTGCTGCTGGACTGCTGGCGCAGCGCTGCGCCACGGCTGGCGCACGCGTGGCGCGGTGTCAGCGGAGAAACGGAACATTGCGCGAGCGCCACAGCTGCTGCTCGTAGTACTGAAAAGCTCGCCGCTGACAGGGAAAGCATCATAGCATACGATGGTTTCCGCAGAGGCCGCGAAGCTGTTCACACGAGTTCAGATCGCGCGATCGCTCAGAGTGGAACAACCACGTATGGAGACTGCCTTCAGCCGGGGGAACACATGCATAATGGGGTTATACACAGGTTCAAAACTCAACGTATAGGTCGCTGACGTGCGTGTCGCTTCAGACAACGGCGGCAGGTGATGTGCCTTGAATGCGTCCGCAGTGAGAGCGTCATCGCGGTCAGCAGTTTGCGCAAGAGTCCGAAGGTGGATTTACTGTGTCATGCGCCATATGGGGCAGCACATGGCATGCACATGATAATCTTGAAGGCACGACGTGACATCGAGGAGCGTGAGTTATAGTGACACCCCCTGCATCAGTTGACCACTCAGCAGCGCTGTTCAAGAGTTACTCATGCAGCGCAGTGGTTGTGCAATCAATTTGAAATAGGGATGGGGCCGCGTTGGGTCCTGAGACATGAGTCATATTGTGCCTCATGATGCAAATGACATCAGTTATTACACCATGACAACCAAATTCAGGCAGTGGGAAGGCAAAGTTTGGATTGTACACAGGGGTTAATGCTGAGGAGCGGCACCCAAGCCATGCACGGCTTTGGCACTTCAGCAGCCATTTAGGGGGTTTGGGCTGGCATGTTCTTTGTTTGAGTCACTTGAATTGCTGCAGGCCAAAGTTTAACGCCAAAGGCTCTTTTGTTTCTTGCAACCAAGCAGGTCTTCCAACAAAGCTTGACCAACGCCCACGCATGAAACAGCTCTGTGTTGCACCACAGAACCATCAAGAGGGCCACCACGGGGCGGGCTACCTCATTCAGGCTCCAACCATACACCCTTCTGCTGACAGGTTGCGTCAGCTTGCAGATCAAGAGATACTGGTGCAACCTGTTTTGTCGCAGGCGAGTCAGTGCCTGCGGCAGCCGGCAGTGCGGCAACCGGTCTGTTTATAAACGCCCAGCAGGTCAGGACCCTCACGTGCAGCTGGTCAGCCCAGCAGACTCCTGTTGAAGGTAAGTTGCAGTGAGCACGTGTAATTTTCAGCCGGTAGGTCATTTCTGGATTGATCTGTACACCCTCCCTTGGCCTGCCGGCTGAAGTGCCATAACCCCACCGCAGCCGCACTGCTACCATCAACATGCATCCGCCATGCTCAAGAGCAGGCTATTCTCTTTTAAAATGGCTGTGGTGCTTGCGTGCGCACGTATCGTCACGCCTTGACACCCACCGTCAGGCGGACCCTCTCAATGCTTGTGAGCGTCGGCACTGCCGCCAAGGGGTCTGACCCCCGCGGCGCCAGGATCGATTTGTACGGTGGCTGGCCCGAGCCCTGGAAAACGCGCAGGGACACGCCTGGTGGCACCATCAGAAGGCCGCCGTTGGCTGCCAGGTCCTGCACCTGTTCTCCAAACATGACGGTGTAATCGCTGATGGTCCCCTCCAGGCAGAGGGTGTCCTGCGGAAGGGGGTGGGGCGGCGAGTTAAAAGCAAGAGGACCTGTTGAGCAGGGAACCTGCGGTGCAGTGCAGTGGAACATCATACGCCCAGCAGCCAATGGCTGCATCGAATGGGCTTGTTGTATGGTCTTGAAACAAACTTCCTGGTGTGCGTGTAAACATGCATCGTTCACGCTCGCAGCGCCATGCTTATTTTCATGGAGTCAACACCAGCAGCTTGCTTACGATCCCCTCCCCGCCGTCAATGCTGGTGTCCTGGAGGTCCCCCTTGCGGTAGATGATGATGTCGTCACCAGGACCCTGCAGGAGGTTTTGATGGGAGGCAAGGCAAGGCAAGGCAAGGCAAGGCAAGGCAAGGCAAGGCAAGGCAAGGCAAGGCAAGGCAAGGCAAGGCAAGGCAAGGCAAGGCAAGGCAAGGCA